CACACTCCTAATTGACCACGTTTCATTCCATGAAATTGCACTGTTTGCATCAAATCCCGTTGTCAATGCCAAATAACTTTTGAGTACGCCACTTGAATTAATTTTCCAAGCAGTTCGCATTGCCAGTAAAACAACGAATCTCAGAGAATGCACCGGTGTTTATTTTTCCATTACTCCAAAATACCCTAGCCGATCGATACAGGGAACTAATCACTGTAAAAATGAGTTGCATCTTTTAAAGCATGACTTCGCGATTAGATCATAGGTGGTTGATTATCTCAGTAAGGCTTGCACTCCTTTCTTTTGTAATAAACTCGTGTAAAAGGAACTGGTAGGGTAATGTGCCTACCCAACATAGGAGTTGCCCAAATGCTTTAGACCTGCTAAGTTTCCCTTTGGAACCCTAGTTGTAGTAAAGCCTTGAGAAATTTGAAACCTTGGATGAATTGTGCACGGTTTCAAGGGTGGAAAGATGGCAAACTTTGCAGTATGTAGCTATTTTTGTTAGCGTTCTATTTCCGATCACCTCGCAAAATATATCTTTCACATGTGCTCGAGTTCATAGAAATGCACTGAATAACCGAACTGAAAAGCTCGGAAGCACTAAACAGCTGTTTCGACCTGGTTGGATCTCATCAGCAGTGCGGATCCATCGACCCAACTGGGGATTGAACCCGGGACCTCATGGGCATAACGCAAGCATGCTACCCACTCGACCAACGGGCAGCTGATCAGACCGTCTTTTATTCACGACTCGTTTCCCCTTTGAAAATGAATCAAATCTTCCCGTGCTCAGATAAATTAAGTAGTCAGGTGTGTTTGTTTCCAACCGAGTCATAACCCCGGAGGTTATTGCTGAGATGAGCCAGGTTTGTGACCTGCAACAAGCTTGCAATGATGGGTTCTGTTATATCGTGTAAATGGAAAATGATAAACGGTCTGATCAGCTGCCCGGTGGTCGGGTGGGTAGCATGCTTGTGTTCTGCCTTTGAGGTCCCGGGTTCAATCCCCAGTCGGTTGAATGGATTCGGACTGTTGCTGAGACCCAAGCAGGTCGAAACAGCTGCCCAGTGATTCCAAGCTTTTCCGTTCACGCTTGATTTGCCGTGTACACGGTGAATTTCCCCTTTGAAATGTAGGAAAAACAACGAGAAACGATTAAATAGGTAAAGACTCTTAACACTAGTTTATTGTTTCGCTGTAATTATTCATGTTTTTATTTGAGTGCGCATAATTCATGCCGCTACTACAAAGGTGGCAGAAATGAAACTGTTTCTACTATCACCAACTAATGACGGATGTTGAATTGCATCGAATTAAAAAACCCATATACTAACAGAATATCAGGGTGCAATGGTGAAATAAGATACGGAAGTTTGAAATCGGACAGGTGTGAGCGAACGTATAGCTTGATGTGTTGAGAAAAGGGGCTGAGAAAACGTGTGAAAGCATTATAGAAATCAGCGGGAAGGAGGCAGTTTGTTCTGTACTGAACTCCCTTACGCACTATTTGCCTACGCATTATTGGCATTCATCATGTGACAGGGGGGGGGCACATTTTACGTGCAACAGAGTTGATCAAGTCAACTGATCTGTCAAAGTGAGCGTTTTTTTCAGGTTACACGA